TAATGGTTATGTTGCTGGACTCCCACATAGTTGACCATGGTTCGAGTCCTGGACCAAGCACCTTGAAGCTCATGCTGGGCATATGTGCATATGTGCCCAAGATCCCAAGAAGAGAATGGAGGAGAAGAGATTGCATTGTGGTCAATCCTTTGGGGGAGTGATTTCTCATTTTCTGTCTCTCTGGTGAGTGCACATGCCCTATAGCAAACAAACAAACAAACAAACAAAAAAACCAAATCTCTAAAAAACCCCAAAATTATCATTAGGGGTCCAGTTGACAAGATTAAATAGTCACCTGTCTTCTTTTATCCCCTTACCTGAGGAAGGGAACTCTTACATGAGTAAATTAGTTACAGACCAGCTGTTGTAACTTTTCTCCCTAGTTAGAGAATATTAAAAGTAACTACACTAGACCCTGTAGTCTGGTCTATGTCTTACATATACTTTTATAGCATAGCTCATAACTATCAATGTCTCATCCTCTGGTATAATATAGTCTTAAGACTATGTTATTTCTCGGGACCAGCAGTTAGCATAATGGCTATGTCACTGGACTCCCATGTGGTCGACCATGGTTCAAGTCCCAGTCCCTGTGGCTTAAACTCACACCGTGCACGTGTGTGTGCGTGACCAAGATCCCGAGGGGAGAATGGAGGAGAAGGGATTGAGGCATGACCATTCCCCCTGGGGGGTGATTTCTTGCTTTCTGTCTCTCTGTCTCTGTCTTTCTGGCGAGTGCATGCATCCTATAGCAAAAACCTCTCCAAAAAAGAAAGAAAGAAAAAAAAAAAACTATGTTATTTCTGAATTATCTGAGTTCTAGTTTATTATTGACTCCTTTGACTAATTCAGACTCAGATAAGCCACTTACCAGTGGCTGTTATTTAACTGTCTCCAATTGCTGGAATAATTGATATTTTGACTTTGCTAGTAGTTTTAAGTGAAGTATAAAGACACGGAGAGAGAAATTTAAAATTTTATCCAGGTAGACAGACAGATACACCTTTTAGAAAAGACTGCATTTCACGGATTTGTGCTTCTGTTGCAATACACCACAGTTGTTTGCTTCACTGCTTGATTTCCTTAGACCTCTTTTATTCCCCTCAGTTTATCCAAAATCTAGAGCACTTACTGGTATACATCTGAATAAATGCGTTTTTCAAACACCAGTTATTTTTTAAAATCAGTAACATTTTTCTTGTCCTATATCTTTGTCACTGGTTTTCACAAACCTGGAGACCATCTGAAGGAGTGTGTTGTGCTGCAAATTAAGTAGAGAGAGAAGATAGCACAATGCCTGAAACTAGCTGCATATCGAGGTTTCTCCACAAGCACAGTAACAATTTCTTTAGAAAATCAGCTTCTGGGGGCCAGTGAGTAGCGTAGCGGTTGAGACACATGGCCAAACATGGTTTGAGTCCTGTACCCGGTGGCTTACTTTCTCACTCTCTCTTTCTCTT